CTTGAGCCTGTTAATACTGATGGAAAATTATAACTGTCTTACTGCCTAGTGTTTCATATAGGTTTAGTCAAGGTTTTCATAGGTGGAAAATAGTTCTGTAAGGGATTTTGGATAAGAGATATTCCATTCTCCTGTCTATGGTAGAATCAACTACCTAAGCCATTCCTGATATCTGTCATATGCTTAGAACTTTGAAAGTACAATCTTCCTAATTGTTTTCTTTGGAGCTCTTAGTGCTAAGAAGTGTTTTACAAATATTTAAACTTAAACTTTCCTTATTTTAATTTGATCATTTTGTTTTTAAATTTTTGTTTTCTGTGGTGAATATAGTGATCCTTTCCTATTTGTAGATTTCTTTTACATCTGTATGTATTTCAAGGTAGTTACCATGGTTTCTCTCAAGCACTGAGCATTCCTCAAAATAAGAGTAACCCAGCTGAACTGGTATCAAAATCAGGTTCTAGGTGGTTCCAGCACATTTGAAGAACTAATCTGGAAAGTGAATGGCTTCCTCAGTAACAGGATTCTACTTTGAAGTCATATGATGTCTCTGTTACAGGGAAATATGGAAATATTGTCGTAAGATGGTCACAAGGTGTTGAAAAGAGCTCAGTCTGTAGGGTTATCAATTCAGGATTATTTTGAAGAATTTGTTACTGGATACCTCTTTCACAGCAGTTTAATTTAGTAATTTAATATAAACTTCTGGGTCAGAAATATTTCAGTATTTCTAATTGGGTGCCATAGTATATTGTTTTTCTTGGACACAGATGTAGATTAGTGCCTAATGTCTTTCTTGGACATCATGCAAATTAGACACTGAGGGTTTGGCTTTCTGGGGCATGTTGTATGTACTATGTCTATGTTTCACAAATTATTCACGTACATGTAGTTGGTCAGCATACCTACCTACTGCAGTACTGTGTATGTGTTCATCTGCTTAAAAACAGTGGTTAGGTACACATTTTATGGAAGTCTGGAAGCCATAATGAATGTCTGAGATGCCAAATAAAGTTTAGCAGTCCTATTGTGCCGGACTAAAAACTATCCTCTAAAATGTTCTATCTCAGTGAGCATAAACATATAGCAAGTGAGATGAGCACAAGAATGGAATAACATTTTTAGTATTTCCTTAAAGTACCCTTCCCAAGTCTAATACTGAGGTTATGAGGACTTCCTGGGCCGAAATCTGCTATCTTATATCAATAGTCCTCAGTGGACAAACTAAGAGAGCTGTTTGAAACTCGCTGAAGTCTTTTTTGGCAAAACATATGGCAAGTTTGGGGAAAATCTGATGCAATCTGATATAAGGCATAACCCTTATATAAGGGTTATATATATATATATATATATATATATATATATATATATAAATGTTACCCTTATATATATAACCCTGATATGTCTGGTTCCCTGTGTTACAGTCAACTTTCAGCAATGGTAGTGCTTGCAAGGTTCCACCTGATATTTTTTACTCGATTTCTTTTTTTTTTTTTTTTTCCGTAAGTGAATTTTTGTCCTTAGTACTTGATATACATAAGACCTCATGCTGTATTGCATTTCAAGTGCAATGAAGAACTGTATTTGTGTCAGGAGTCAGGCTCAGGGAATATGTTAAATGAGTAATGGGGAAGAAACTCATTACCACAGGTGACTTAAGCTCAGCCGCTGTCATTTTCAGACTGTGAGTAGAATTTGCCTCACATTTGGTATCTATACATATAACCAAAGTCAAGTTTGTTGTGACTTCACTTGTGGAAAATGGTTATGACACTAGAGCAGTCAGCAGAGTGGAGAGGCTACTTATTTGTGGATAACTAACTTCCTCAGTCCAGAGGCCCAGCCATTCATTTACAACTTGATGATGGCTTTCAGTATGAATATAGCTGAATATAGCTGAACCTTCCCAAGGGTTTTATTTCAAAGTACTTTAATTTTTCTGACACAGCACCTTCCCACTGCAACTTCCCACTGCAACCCCCAACTACCACAGAAACATACTATCAGCAAGACTTTTTGCTCACACTTCATCATTCACCTCAGAGCATTTAACAAGCAATCAGTTAAACAGATGAATAAATTAAATCTTATCCATCTCTGTCAGGCAAAGGATACAGTACTTATTTAATAGAATAAGCAGAGCCATATCTCTTCTAAAGCTGGATTCTTTTAGCTTAATCCATATTTAAGTGAACATGAACTATATGGTTTATCAGTAGCACTTAGTAAGTCAAACTGGCTGATCATAACGAAGAGACAGAGGATGACCCTTCAGGATTGCTGGTATCTCTGTTCTATTTCATCACCAAAATAAGATCTAGTCAAAGACCAGCATAGGACATGTATTTCCTACCAGTTAAGGAAAACAATGACGACTGTAAATAATATTTTTTTCTTCTGTTCTCATGTCTAGTGAACATGAAAAGGGAAAGCAGTATCAAAACACATTTTAATTTGCAACATATCTTGTGTATGGTGGTTGTTAGAAAAGCCAAGCTATTGTTGCAAAGCATATTTAACTTTTGAATTCGTATTTGCACGTTAAATATATGGATTTTTTTTTAGAGGATCCAAGGGTTAACAAGACAAAATAGTATTACCAGATCTCTGTATCATGTTCTACATGGAACCAAAACCAAGCATCTTAAGTCTGTAGTGCTAATGACACAGTACGACAAATATCAGTAATCCCTCAGTGAAGCATTTATGCATCTCTTTGCTTGAGGGCATCATGACATGTAAAATAAGGGGGAAATCATAGAAAACTACTGTACAACAATTGGACAAGATATATACTGCCCGTAGTAACATTAGAGCAAACTGAAAACAGTATTTTTCATTTTTCAAAAAGACTTAATGAAAAGTATGTTTTTAGAGCTGTGGCACAAAGAAATTGTATTCACATTTTTAGTGCAAAATTTAAAATGTCCATTGGGAACATTTATGTTGTGTTTTTAATTTATGCCTAATACCATCATTTGGTTTGGTTTGTTAGTATTGCTTGAAAGATCCCAGTCCACTGGCCCTACCATATAGAAGGTACTCACTAATTTTTTTACAAAATTCTACTGTTCCTGTAATTGAGGAAGCTAGGCTTTTTCAGGCACTTAATTGTATCTGCTACTAGAAGACCATTCTCAAAACATTATGATTGTTCTGAATGGATCGGTCCACTACAATTTGAAAGGATGTTAAACTGTATGTGTGGGCTCCTGATAATGCAGATCCTTATCTGGGTGCTGTCTCAACTCATTAAAAAGAAAAGAGAGCAAAGGCTGAAGTGCTTATACTTCACTTATACAGTTTTGTGGCATAAATTTTAGAAATATGGGAACAAGGTGAGACTTGACCATTTCTAATGCAAGAAAGTATATAAATTAGGTGGCCATCAGGAAAAACATGGATAAATGAATCAGGGAGAACATTTTGCGACTGTCATATTTTTTCCACTTAGACACACCTCACTGAATAACATAAGTTCCTGTATGTCATTAATTGAAGGTAATCTGATTTTCGGTTGTTTATAGATAGACAAAATTGCAGATTAAAGTGTAGGTGAGTGTTTGATTTTTTCCCGGACTTCTCTGAAGACTGTTAACAGAGAAAAGAGTTAATGACATTCTTTCACCAATTAAAAAAAACTGTTTCATCATAAAAATAATAATAATAAAAAATATAGCATCATTTAAATGGAGCCATAGTAATTTATATGGTGGAATAGTGTACTTCTTGAACTTGGATGAATAGCTACACTGAAGATGAACACACATTATACTTGCAGCAGTAATAAAGAAGCTGTAGTATTTTGATTCTTCATTGGCTACATTATCTCAAGATAATCATCATCAAAGAGTCTGACCATTGATGTAATTATAGGCCCTGTATTTTCACTGCAGTATACTGTCTACATATCATCAATACCTTAAATATTTCACATAGAACTACACAGTAAGATACTTCCAGTGTTGTTGTTGCTGTCTTCTGGTATTGAGATGTGTATAACCTCATATTTGGACAATGGACATGTATTTCTGATGTCAACGTTAGCATATGAGATTCACTGTGCTTTATTAGAAAATGGTAGTCCCAAGTAGTTAATCCCAACATGGTCAGAGAAAGCTCCATATGAGGTTCAAATATTCTGAGTAGGTAGACATAACTATGAATTTTAATCTGATAGGTATGAAGCAAACTAATTTTTTATTTTTATTTTTTTACATAATGTGATGGGAAACATAACCTTTTGCATGTTTTTGTCTGTTACTTGCAGTTGCATTGGAATTGTTTCACTTGAGCTTTTTCTGAAAACACCATCAGTAATCGTACACCAACTAGCTGCATCAGAACATGTTTGTGTGTTGTGTTGTGCTCTTTTCTCCAACTCAATAGAAAATAAGGAGAATGAATGCAGATTCACAAATCTAATTTAAGAGGGTTACTAATGACACTTTAAAATAGGCAATGTCTTCCTTAATTAATTCATGGATTACTGATTGAAGTAGTTAGGACTGTATGAATAGAGACAATCAGTTTCAGCAGGGACATGAATTATGATGTACTTATACACTTATATTATTAAAGCTTACTAACCTCTAGTGAACTTTATAACACAAAATGTCTTGAATGAAATCTTGTATAAAATGTGACTACTTTTCCATCTCTGAAGTTTACTTTAAAAATGTAAGTACACGTTCTTCCTAAAACCCTTCATTCTTTCATTAAAGATGCTTGCTTTAAATTCATTACTTTTTCCACTGTATAAACTAGGTGGATCTGAATACTTACGGGAAGAATCTAAAGCATTTGGTTGTTATTAGTGGGGAGATAGCTGACTCACACATGCAAAAAATTAAAGAAACTTTACAAATGTTCTAGTGATTTTTGTTTTGTTTTAGGGCTATACAGCACCAAACCACATCCTGTAGTACAACAGACCTTTTCCCTTTTTATTTTTATTGTGCAATATCACTTCAGGTTAATAAAACAAACAAGGACAATACTCTTATTCTCTATTCCCCAGATTTTATTATTTTTATTTAAATATAACATGCTATACATTGTTGCTCAGTGATTTTTGCTTTTATTTTCTTTTTAAATCCCTCCCGTTTTCCTTTTGCTCCGGAGTATGTTATGTTGACAGAAAACAGCTTATAGTTGAAGAATTGTGATACTCTAGAGTGTCTGCAGTTTGCTTCCACCACAGTGGAATACAGTATGATAACGATGCAGGAATCATTGATTCCTTCAAAGTAATTTTGCTTTGGTTAATTCTCAGAAACAACTATTCATGTCATAAATGGCTCCTGACTCACTTTGGAAAAGTGATATTTTCTGATTTTGGCCTCTGAGCAGCATAAAGTTTTGAGTACTATTACAAAGTTTATGCATAATCCCTTCCCTGACCAAGTAAACTAGGTAATTCTGTAAAAATAGAACCTAATTTGTACCCTAAATGTTCTTTAAGTGGTCAGCCAATACTGCAATTGCCCAGGCTAACATTGAATGTTCACTGTGGGTGGTCCGTTATGTCTTGTCAGTATTCATTATTGATTACAACTTTAAACAACAAAACCTCACTTCTACTATGGTAGTTAAGTTTGCTGATTGTCTGCATTTACATTTAAAATCTGAAATTATTATTTCCCTTTCTAGAAAAGTCACATTTGTGAAGAAGCAAGCTGGAGATAAAGTTCAATGAAATGTAATGTTAGCTATCAGCTAAAATGTTTTGTCTCAAATGACTTTCTGGTTTTAAAACAATTGATTTTATTTAAGTACAGGAAATACAATCTGACCATTTTGTATTTTATGGGAAAGCTATTATTTTTTGCTTAAAAAAAAAAAACAACAACAGCTGATATTTAAATAACAGATTAAGATTGAAGTGCTGGTTAAACATTGACTTAAATAAGTTATAGAAGACTCCAACACCAGCCTTTTTAGAGGTTAAACATTCTCAAAAAGACACATTAAGCAAGGCTATCCTTTGTACCAAAATACAGTTTCCAAACAATAAAAATAAAACCAACTTTTTCACAACAAGAAATATTGAAGATAAAACTGCAGCATCAATATAATCTCATAGTTATCACTTAAAGTATTTAGAACAAAATAATATTATACTACTTTTGTTTCTTACTACAGACACTGCAAAGGCTTATTTATTTATTTAGTGGAATACAATGTGAAGACAGTGGTACAAATTGTTTGATGTACTGTTTTCTATTTATCTGCTCTAACAAAATGAATCTCAATATGGTTATATTGGTGAGCTATCCAGAGCTCTCTAAAATTACAGAGTAAAGCAAAACATAAAACAAACCTTATGTACCTTTAATTGAACAGACTTCATATCACGCTTAACTTTGTTATACTGCAGTTGCTCAAGTTAAGCCATGGGACTAGTAACACTTTATAAAAATGTGCTGGATATTATGCATTTTGAGCCTTCAGTTACAATGATGGATATGAAAGGCATGCTAAAGCTGGATACCAGCACAGCTTTTTGGTTGGCTCTCATATATAATATACATGTGAGTAATAGTCTCTGATAAATGCATGCACATGATTTTGAATCCCCTACCCCTCAGTCCTTATTTAGGTATTGCTCCCAGTATATGCCTGTGATTCTACAAGCTGGTACCAAGGACAAATGTGCTGAATGGGCATATTAACTGAATAAGGAGTGCAGGACTGTGTTGCCTTCTTACTTACCTTTCAGAGACCAAATTTTACACTTGGGAATTACATACTGTTTAGTTTTAATATGTGCAGTCTCAGTGATTTTAACTGGGCTGTCCACATCTAGGTTCCAGCCCAGTGCTTGCCACGAAGTTTCTCACTGATTGCAATGCATCTTTGATCCCCATTGAAATCCAAGTCAGACATATATACAAACAGATGCATTGACACCCAAGTACAGAGGTGGCCCCTCCTCTCAATTTAAAAACAGCAGAAAGACCCTTTGAACAAAGTATTTCTTGAAGTTTGTTCTTGAGTGTTGAGAAGTAAAAAAAACCTCTCCAACATAGACACCCAATACCATAAATTCAAGCACTGCTTGTTTGGTCTTTTTGCTTAAGTGCAAGACAGTTTAAGAAAAAAAAAATGGATTATACACATTAAATTCTGCCTTTAAACCATGTCCATTCCCTATTCTCAGTGTGCTTATGAGGTTTTGACACTTATCAACCTCTGCATAAAGTACTGAGGAAAAGGGAAAACAACAAGCAAATGAGGAAAACATTTCAAACCAAAAAGATATTTAACATCCTATTAAATAAATAACTTAGAAAGAAATAAAAAGGAATGAAGTTAGAACATACAAGCAAATCATACTATCTGTTTTGTTAAAACAGTTTTACACTACTTTGCTTATATTCCTTAATCTTATCCATTCTTCCACAAGGCTTCTCCAAAAACATCTTTGCTTTTACATATGACCCAAGTGCTTCCAGTAAATGCTTGCGTGTCTAACTGTTCATTGGATCATTAGGCTTGAATAAGCAAATAAGGTCCTTGATACAAGTTAGTATTCCATAAATAACTTTCCCCATGAAGATCATTCAATAGATTGTCTCTCATCTGTTAAATTCCGTCGCAGAGATTAAAAAAAATAATAAATTGTTCACACTGGCAATAACTTCCATCCCATTTGATCCAGCTTGTATCTTGATTTTAAGATATGACACTGAACTTAATAAAAGTATTTGATCTGCCAGCAATAAGTTCAAAACTTTCAGAGGCTTCCCCTGCTCTTTTCAAATAAGCAGATATCTGTGCAATTTCTTTGCACTTACTCTTCGAGAGGACTACAAATTACGCTTGACATAAGAGCTTTTGGTTCAACTGAATTGGTAATAGAGTTCCTTCATCTATGACATTACTACCATTGGAAGAAAGTGAGCTGAAGTGTTTTTCCTTCTTGTTTTCTGTCCTCTTTTTGTGGCTCCCCTTCCATTCAGAGCCACAAACATTTGCCTTCCATTGTGCTTCCAATTTAGGGATGCATATGTGTTATATCCATTTTCTTCTATTCTTTCCTTCAATTTGCAATCACTGTTAAACTCCTTCTGTAAAAAGAAGAAAACACCAATTCAGAATAAACAAATTTCACTGAGTTGCATTTAAAGCAACATCACTTAAGATTACAAAAAGTGAAAAAAAAAATAATTATAGCAATAAAATGATATAATTCATCCAGAGTTGAAAAGCAACTTCTCTGTATTGGAACACAGGAACAATATTAAATCATATTCTCAACAATAAACTCGAAGTATGAGGTAGTGCTCTTGGAATCATTCATCATATTTAAGTTCTAATAAATACAACCCTTAAATATCTTGAACCAGATTATTGATACCATATGTTAAACAATGGCATAGCCCTACTTTTATTGAAAGTAGGATCCTTTACACTACACTGGCCATGAAAAAGTGCTTTTTTGGGTGGGTGCAAATCACTGTCAGGCTGTTGATAGAATGGATGTGAAGCCTGTTTACTTGCTGATTTGAAGAGGGGCTTGGCCTAAAAGAATGATTCATATATAAGCCTATATCTTATTGCGAAGATATTCACAGTAAAATTCAGAGCAGTTTTGGGTAGGATACCAGGGATTAATGCTTTCTATTTTTAAAGGAGAACCAGCTGCCCATTTGCTATAAAGGATAAAAAATACAAGCATGACGAAGCAAGTAGAGGGAGACTATAATGTTAAATGCACTTTTATTTGTATCTGCTTCTCTATAGTAAAGACAAGAAAGATTTGTTTTCACAAAAAAGTAATTACTACATATAAAAAAGTCAGATCAAATTACTTATATTCCATACAGAAAACTTTTGAAAGTATAACATTTACAACATACTAAAACATCAACCAAAAATTAATATTTTGTTGTTTCTGCATTTATAAAAACAAGATGTTATTGTACAGCTCAAACGGAAGCATGTCAGAATCTTAGAGTATGATATACTAACCATTCTTAAGGTGTTTATGAACAAGATAACACATTTGTATGAATAATAAAACATTTTTCATGGGATAATAATTTCAGGGATTTTTTGATTATGACTAAAATCTGTAGATATTCAGGTAAAAAAATATATAGAAAGTATCTGCATTAATAAAATAGACATTATTTAGCTGAATTACATTGTTTTAAAATAACACGGGTCAAATACATATTTTTTTCTATTCCTATTAATTTAAACTAGATTTTTTAAACTAGTTAATGTTTAGTACTCAAAACAGTAAGAAGTTTCTGGTGTATTATTAATGTTTAACTTGATTTTAAGACCACAGAACACATACTTAATGCTTTTTTAACACAATTGCACATATGCAAACACAATTTGGCTCTCAAAATGCACTTAAATTTTTGGATTAGTAGTTAGTGGAACAATAACTGTTGGGGAATACACTGCCAGGAGAAAACTCCTATGCAAAACAACCATTAATGCTGCCTGTATTCATACGCTAACATACAGATAATTTAACTTTTAGTTGCTGTAGTAATTTGCTACTTCCCATATCAAGGTATTAAGAAGGCAGGTGACTATCAACTATAGTTCTAAACTACAGTAATTTTTCCTATCTGACAGAGTGTTAATTTGTTAAAGAAACTAAATGAGTCTTCCTTGGCTCCCTCTAGTCAGTCAAATGGTAACATATTTGATAAATGGAGAAACAGTCATACTTGTTTTTCCAGATGCAGAACCATACTAGAATCCAAATTTTTTAACTTTTTTTTTTTTTTTTTTTTTTTTCCTATTATTAGATAATACAGAGAGAACGAATGATGCTGTGAAGTGGCTAAGAAGCCTTATTGGCAGGGGTCTGAGTGTTAGCCCAGGACTGCTTTGTTCATTCCAACTAAATTTCAGTATAGCCCTGCACCTATATGGTGAATGAATGTCTATTGTGCACATGCTTAAGAGTGTTTTTAAAATTTTTATTGGTTCTGTTTTTCATATCCATCTGCAAGCTGCCACTCTGCAGTAATATGAGTCTAACTGCAAGTCTTAGGAGGATGGGAAAAATAATAACAGAAGCATTCTTGAAATCTCAGAAGTATTATGGAATAGGTTTTGATAAGTCATTATATTGTGATTTTATGATGTGAATATTGAAAAATTATCTCAGTTGGAATTAAAAAAACAGCTTTCCACATTCATAGCCTCCTGTCAACACTATTTCTAATACACTGTGAATTACTGAATCTTATGGCAGCAGTTTCCACCTACGGTACATGAAAGCTGCTTTGCCTTCTTTTGTGTATGAATAGGGTTGGATGAACTCCTACCACACCAGCAATGGATAACAAGTTGGGTAGAAAACCTTATTTTAGGTTTTGGGACTGATCATCACCAATGACTAACTTAACAACATTAACCAAGATTTGTATTGACTGGTGATATAAGCTAATGTATTCACTTATGTCCAGAAGTATTCCTGTGATCAATAAAGCAACAGAGCTTAATTGAAAAAAGAAAACATTGTCAGCCACTCAGTATACCCTTATGACTCTCAAATGTGCAGGGCTGACCACTGATTATCTATTATATCTCACCAGTGTAATTTTATAAATTAAAATCTACATTTATGGGAGCTTAGGAAAAAATTATCTGTTCAGATCTTTCTATCCCTAATGCAATTCTTCAACACTGCCCAGGAACTGAGGAGGTCAGAAGTAACCTCATAAACTAGGAGTGACTAGTAACAACAGTGCAGATAAGGGAAGACAGTTTATGAAGTTTATATGAACTAAGTGCACCCGACAGAAATGCTTACTTAGAAAAAAGGGCCAAATGACATCAACCCCCTTGAATCTCAATTGATGCAATCAGTAGTCTCAGACTGGCAATACTTCATTGTTTTCAGCAGAAGTGGGCTTAACTATGTTACCCTCTTTGAAACCTATGGATGTTCTGAATCCAGAGCAATCTGAAGATTGGCTCATCACCTCTGTACATGACTTGAATAAGTTTACACTCATGTGGGTTCAAACTGGATAAAAAGTTGTAAAATTACAAACCGGTTGATATGTAATAACAGAACAATCTGATGTCTGTGCCATCATGCAGATGTGTGAGTGTAAACTTGAATTTAGTAGTCAGATTTCTAGATTATACTGATTCCTATTAAGAATTTATTATTATTATTATTATTATTATTATTACTTGTTTGAACTGGAAATATCAGTAAACCCAAACTTACAGAAATGCAAATAGCACAATTTTCAAATGATATCCAAATTCTTCTCAGTCAAAATATCTCTGTCTCTTTGTCCTGTCTATAAGCTTGTGTATTAATTACTATAGTCATTTTATAGCTAAGTGCTCCAGAAATCTTCTTCTCAACACTCATACTTTGATGTGCCTTCTCCATCAGCTGAAGTTTACAGCATTTTAGGTACACTTTATTTCCTCAGAATCACTAATTATTGTGTCAGTACTGCAGAAACTCAGCTCTGGTGAGGCCGCATCTCGAGTACTGTGTTCAGTTTTGGGCCCCTCACTACAAGAAAGACTTTGAGGTGCTTGAGCAAGTCCAGAAACAGGCAACGAAGCTGGTGAAGAGTCTGGAGAACAAGTCTTATGAAGAGCAGCTGAGGGAGCTGGGGTTGTTCAGTCTGGAAAAGAGGAGGCTCAGGGGTGACCTTATTGCACTCTATAGGTACCTTAAAGGAGGCTGTAGCGAGGTGGGGGTTGGTCTATTCTTCTATGTGCCTGGTGACAGGACGAGGGGGAATGGGCTAAAGTTGCACCAGGGGAGGTTTAGGTTGGATATTAGGAAGAACTTTACTGAAAGGGCTGTTAGGCACTGGAACAGGCTGCCCAGGGAAGCGGTTGAGTCACCATCCCTGGAGGTCTTTAAAAGACCGTTAGATATAGAGCTTAGTGATATGGTTTAGTGGAGGACTTGTTAGTGTTAGGTCAGAGGTTGGACTAGGTAATCTTGGAGGTCTCTTCCAACCTAGATGATTCTGTTATTCTGTGAAAAATATGGAAAAAGAGCCTTTAAGATTACATTTTGTAGATCCTTTCCATCAGCCATCAGTTAGTAAGAAATGTGACTGAAGCAGTGAACATAATAAATCCCAGCTACAAGAAGCTTGTGGCTGGGGGGGGGTGCTGGTTTACCAGAGGTTGACATTTTGATGAACAGCTAATTTTAGCTCTAATTAGTAGTAATACACAGACAAGTGGGGTTTTCAGTAGGTAAGAGAGGAAAATATGTTGACTACTGCCATCTGTTTGGAAGGTAAAAAGAGGTACTTACAGAGCCATAGACTTTTCCTTTCTTGTTCATGGCTAAATAATAGTTGCTTTTAATAGACTTAACTGCCACGACTCCAATTTCAACGGATGTTATCTCCAATATGCCTAAAAATAAAAAATCAACTATTTAATCACTTCATTATATGACTTTCTCACTATAGAAAGAACAGTAAACCCCCATAATACAAAGCTTCTAATACTCAAAATGAATTGACCAATAGACTTCAGTAACATTCTTCTCCAAACTATTGCAAGAGTATACACAAATATTGTTTCAATTAACATGTTTCCTTTGCAAACCCTGCATTTTAAACCCCATAAATACTGAAACAGCTCCATTCTTCTTAGCATAGATTTTACTAAAATTTATCAGAAGAGACATCTGAACCACAGCATTAAATTAAATCTATAGCATATGTCAATAGAATGTTAGATTTATCCCAATCTTCAAAACCAGTGGTAAACTATTTATTCCTTGTAGGACATTTAGATAAACTAAATCTCTTGGCTGCACTGAGATGATAAATTCATTTTTGGCAAGTGTGTTGACATTTTGGGATATAGTAAGACTAACCCTAACGGCCACATTATCTTTGCTTTTCAGATATCAGAAACGTTTTGCTCTGTTTGTAATAAATATGATTAACTTTTTTTTTTTTTTTTTTTTTTTTTTTTTTTTTTTTTTTAACGAACTATTTCTGGGATACTGGATAGCTCAAGGGGCCAGTAACAGGACACAGAACTTTTCATCTCTGCATTGTCTGTCCAAGAGCATACTGATTTGGGACTAGCAGTTAGTGCCACTTACATAGGGAGTGACTTCAGAGGTATATTTTCAGCTATTACTAGAGCAACTGGATGGCTCTGTTGTTTTAATGCAAATGCTTTAATATGAGATAAATATGGTTCCAAAGAAATATCTTCTAAATGGTTAGTATAGGTAGTATACTCCAGCCTTTCTATTGATATTAAAGTAGTAGTAATGGGAAAAAAAAGCCATCTAACTCAGAGGTCACAAAGGGGCAACCACTGGGGAAATTACTGGAGGGCCAAAAGTATTGGGAAATCTTAGAGAAAAAACATCCTACATAAAGCCAACAAATAATATGATGAATAGATCAGCTGGGACAACATTGATGAGTTGCCAACTACTTAAAGAAAAGGCATCTGCAATAATTTGGTACTACGTATGTCCAACACTTTTTGTCTGAGCAGAGAAAAACTGGAAAATTCATATGTTTTTTTCATTTACTTAAAATTCCTTATGGTAACCACACACCAACTGAATCCGAGCGTAGCTTGTTATTCAGTGCTTTGTCTGGAAATGCTGTTTTTCTGTCCATGAAAACTGTATGCAGTCTGTGCAGACTGTGTAAGCATCTGGAGTTCAGTTTGCAGTGGAGGTTTGTAGGAAGCTCCTTCACTGCATAGATATGTATATATTAATAATGGCTGCTTTAGGTACAATGGAAAAGTCAAGCAATATGGCCATTGTGCTGCAGGTCTGTATAAATCAGGATTAACAGATGAGCAAGGTTGATACTTGTTCTGTGACTTGACATAGAAGCTTTGATGCTAGCTAGACAGTGGCTATGAATCAAGCACGACAAAGAAATATCTGATTTTTAATAGGAAGAAAATTGATGATATAGGTTATGGACATGAAAAATAAAAGAAATATAAACCTAGGCAATATAATGGGAAAAGCTTCCTTTTATTGCCATGAAAGAAGAGATGGACTTTTCTGACTGCATTTTTTAATATATATATATATTATTATAATATATATACATTCTGGATTTATATAAATTACCTATTTTTAATAAAAAATATATGTAAATGATAATGCAATTACCAGAGAACTTGTATTTATTTAACAGGAAGCAATAGGTTGGCCAGAGCTACAGAGTGATTACATATTAGAAAGATTTCAGTGAGAATGGCAACAATAAACAACAAGAGGTCTAGGATCTAGTAAAGCTCTCCAAAAAATGGACCACTTTAAACCAGAAATATATACATATACATGTGTATGTATGTATATGTACACAATACATTTCCTGTCCAAACCTATAAAGAACTCAAGGAGGAGGGTTATTTTGTTTTAATTTCTTTATGAGTGCCTCATGCTACAAATACTGATTTCAGTATGTAAATGTAAGTGTTGATAGGCATAGTTTATCATGTACTGCTAAAAAAAGCAGTGATAAAGCCTTCTCTTGTAAGAATTTAATTGTAAGTTTTTCAACTACAGCATGAAAAATCAACACTGCTAAAGATTGTGTTGCACATATATACTAACAAACTTCACTCATAGAGCTGAATATCCATTGAGTTTCTTACAGCTGCATGAGAGCAGTTCTGTGATAATTACCTCTTGAGCTTGAAACCCAATGGGTTTAAAAAAACAGTGAAAGCATAGTTACATATGGCATTGCAAGTGTGCTACCTGTTAGGGAGTAAGAAAAACAATTTCCCAAATAAGCTCATTCCATCATCAGAGGTGTATCCAATTCAGTAGCACCAAAGGCCCCTCTACTATATCTAGAGCTACCTTTTTCCACTGCTAGGTAGAAAAAGATATGCCCGGTTAGATAAATGAAAAATCAAAACATAACTTCCATTAGTTACCTACACGCAATGTTAGCTTGTGCATTAGCACAAGGTCCTAGGTGGAAATAAGAGGAGGCGTAAATTGGGGGAAATTAGTCAATTAGTAAAATTAGTAAATTATTAATCTGGGAAATTCCAGAATGTTTTCAGGAAGAGCGAGGTAAGACCCACTACCTACTTTTAAGAATAATATGACTATTACGAAGGAGCTCTGTATCCTTTTCCATAAGTAAGATGAAGATAATTGTACTCTCTAATCTCAAGAAAAGTTGTCAGAGCTCCTTAACTAGGTCTTGTTAGCCAGCTCATATATTACAAACGTTGTACCATTGACACAAGCAGATCAGTAAGCCTAGCAGCCAAGGCCTATTATGTTTTTGTTACTCTTATAATGTTGCTCATTTTCACTGAAAAAAAAAAAAGCCAAAGTTGTTTTCTTGATTTTCTGCAAAAGCATTAATATAGAACAGTGGTCTTTAACATTTCTCTACCATGGGTCATCCTCTACAGTATTTGTACTCAAAATCAAGAACAGTTAAGTGGAATGCTTTAAGTTATGTGGATGACAACCTGTAAGAGGGTAAGACTATGTTGTGAATGTCGCTACAACACCCCTCTCTTTCTGTGCGAGTGACATGTTTTCAGGTCTTTTCCATGTCAAAAATGAATTTAGTCAAACTAATTTTATTGTAGAAATTAATAGCTGTAACCCAAGTGTCACCAGTAAAACTAGGCTTGGTCTATCTCTAACACCAGTAACAATAAAAATATAATCTGATACTGGCATAATATGTAGTATTATTAATTATTGTATGTTTAAATGGATTAAACTGATTTATAGTTTGTCATAGTATCTTTGTAATAACACCATATTGGATTAACTTAACAGACTATTGCACTTGTGAAATTTCTGAGTGCAGCTGAAGGAGAACAGTGTTTAAATAGGAAGCTTGCTCTAAATTAACACATTTTAATGCTGATACACTGCTCTTCACTATAATAACCGAGTTAAAACAACAGAACAATTTATATAAATCATGAAATTTTTTCTGGTAAAGTTTGGTCACTATCTCATTTGCCATTATACCCCCAATCAGGCAGCTAGAGGGAAGTAATGAGGAGAATTGTTATTATGTTAACATTATATATAAAAGTAATATATATATACATATAATATTATATATAAGAGTATATGTAAGAGTAACTACCTTGATTGTACCCAGTTATGGTATTTAACTGCAACCAAATTTTGCTTAATTCATCTGAACTACTGTCAGTTTGATCTCATGACCAGTGATCCTTGACTTATTTTCATTGGATGTGTTTTGTGTTTTTTGGAGTTGAAAAATGTTGTATAGCTTTCAGTGAAAATTTTGCATATTTTAACCTCTGCAATATTTTGAGGAAAGAAGTAAAAAAATTAATGTTTTTCTTTCAAATAAATGTAGTACTCTTCATCTATTGCTCCTTGGGTAGCAGGGGTCTAGTTTGGTATTTATCTGCCCTGTTACTAGTTGTATGCCCTGGAGACTTCAATGGAGTTAGAATCATAGAATCATAGAATATCCTGAGTTGGAAGGGACCCTTAAGGATCATCAAGTCCAACTCTTGACACCGCACAGGTCTACCCAAAAGTTCAGACCATGTGACTAAGTGCACAGTCCAATCTCTTCTTAAATTCAGTCAGGCTCGGTGCAGTGACCACTTCCCTGGGGAGCCTGTTCCAGTGTGCAACCACTCTCTCTGTGAAGAACTTCCTCCTGATGTCAAGCCTAAACTTCCCCTGCCTCAGCTTAACCCCGTTCCCGTGGGTCCTGTCGCTGGTGTTAATGGAGAAAAGGTCTCCTGCCTCTCGACACCCCCTTACGAGGAAGTTGTAGACTGCGATGAGGTCTCCCCTCAGCCTCCTCTTCTCCAGGCTGAACAGGCCCAGTGCCCTCAGCCGTTCCTCGTACGTCTTCCCCTCCAGGCCTTTCACCATCTTCGTAGCCCTCCTCTGGACACTCTCCAACAGTTTCATGTCCTTTTTATACTGTGGTGCCCAGAACTGCACACAGTACTCGAGGTGAGGCCGCACCAGCGCAGAGTAGAGCGGGACAATCACCTCCCTCGACCTACTAGCGATGCCGTGCTTGATGCACCCCAGGACACGGTTGGCCCTCCTGGCTGCCAGGGCACACTGCTGGCTCATATTCAACTTGCTGTCTACCACGACCCTCAGATCCCTCTCTTCTAGGCTGCTCTCCAGCGTCTCATCGCCCAGTCTGTACGTGCAGCCAGGGTTTCCCCGTCCCAGGTGCAGGACCCGGCACTTGCTCTTATTGAACTTCATGCGGTTGGCGATCGCCCAGCTCTCCAACCTATCCAGATCCCTCTGCAAGGCCTTTCCACCCTCAACAGAGTCCACAACTCCTCCAAGTTTGGTGTCATCAGCAAACTTGCTCAAAATACCTTCTATTCCTACATCCAGATCGTTTATAAATATATTGAAA